TTCGACTGTTTCAGGGAAACCCAACTATGCCTGCCTCCCCGAGACTGGCGTTGCAAGTGAAAAACTCTGAAGAAGAGAGGAATGGTCGCCCCGATCCTTAAGAAGTGACATGTCAGCTCGAACGCCCGAAGAGAGGCGATCGAATTGGGGTGAAGCTGCGAGGGGGCCAAGTCCAGATGGCAGAAAACCCCGACCTGGAAATCACTGAAGGGGAGCTTAAGGCCGAGGTCCTTGAACGCGATTTCATACATCGGAAAACCATACTCAGAGAACTCCGAGCAGATCCGCGCATCGAGAGACGGCCTTGTGACAACAAAGTTCTTCTGGAAGCCCGGTTGACTACCGCCGTGTTCGACGATAGTGTAGGCGCTCCAACTACGCCGACTATATGCCGAGGCAAATCCTCGGGGCTCGGCGCCCACCCAATCCAGCGAAGGACCATCAACGGTATCGACTAGAGTTACATTCTCCTTGGCACTCTGGTCCTCGACCTCATTACGCCCCGAAGACTCCGGTTCATCAACCATTTACCTGCAAAGCACAGGAAACCGGTGAAATTCGAGAGCAAATCCATATGCTCGCAATAACTGACGGGGAGTAGGGCACGACAAGCCAAGACACACTCCGCGCACGTTAAAACGTTGAGGACTCGAACAAGATCCTGGTTTCGCCTCCCCGACACTAAGGTGCCACGACGAGTTATCCTACATACTTCCTAATGGACCAACATCCCGGTCAGCCATGGGTACGCCGACCTAAACTACGAAGGTGACGGACAATATCATGAATCATAAATCTAGAACTATGGGTTTACCGGGCAGTATCATAGATTATGCGCCCAAAACCATGAAGGTCCCGGGCAGCATCGCGAGTCACATACCTAAAGCTATGAGTTTACCGGGCACAAACATGAATATATCAGGCACAAACATGAATGTGTCGGGCACAAACATGAATGTACTGGGCGCTAATCCCAGATGTGGGTTTCTAACAACCAAATAACGGAAACATTACCTACAACGAAGAAAAACAGGAGGGATAAACGCTTACTTGGAAGTTAAGAAGAAGATACGGCAGCGGTGGAGAAAATCGACGGAGGAAGGTACGGTAATCTTGCGAAGTTACAGAGAAACAGCGGCGGCAAAGGCAGAGGAAGAAGGAGAAGCGCGAAGAGGAAAAACAAATTATGGGATCCAAGGATCCTATTTATAGGGATGACGTGGAATACGAAACGTCACCCCGGGGAACCACGAATTTCCCCTCCTCGACGTCTACTCCCCTAGGCAATGATGGCCCTACTCTCGCTAGGGTGGCGTCATGGTTCCCAAGGGTTGCCTCGTGTACCCAACGAACACAACCCGCAAGGAATCCCTCGAGCACGCATCGACGAGGATCACGCCACGAACGCAACTCATGAGAAACTTCTCGAGCAGTCACGGGGAAACAAATATCCTGGGTCGGGCATCAGACCCCGTGGCAAAGGCGAGCTGGGGTCAAGTCATAACTCCTGCTCCAGGAGCCACGACTTGGGGGGCTCCTGTTCTGGACTGGGCCCACCCTGGCCCAAAAGCAAGAACGAAGGCCCAATCCAAGCAACTCCTCGAGGAGCGCGCGCCCGAGGATTCTCGCCAGCGCGTCCGACCACAGACTGCAGCCGTGCCCGCCGTTGCCCGCGAACATGGTGTCCCCGACCACGGGAACCCCAGTCCGAGCCCAGCTCGAGCGACCTCCTCGTAGGACAGATTCTGACCGTTACCAAATCACCTGAACTCCGAAAAGACCGCATCTTCGTCCCTCTTCATTTCTCGCAGAGCATCACCGGGAAGGAGATCCCGTGCGGGTCCCCACTACACACGTAGAACCTGACAGTTCCTTTATTGGGCCAGTTTTGGTCGATCCAATGAGGGGACCTTGGCCCCGCGCTGGGGGCTATAAATACTCTCTGTTCCTAGAGGGTCAGGTATTCATCTCTTACCCATACATACACTTTTTGCCTGCTCATTCTGTCACTCATTTTAGCATCGGAGTGCCTTGCAGGTATCCCCCATCTCACTCAACTTCCGCTCGAAGCCAATCGCGACGGTCTAAGTCTGATCAGGTAAGATCAATATATTTTGTTATTCTTCAGAGATGTTTGATAAATTTTTGGGGAACTATATAAATAATTTATTATAAACAATTATCTAACAATATAACCATCCTTCCGGGATGCGTTAAAATTATTATCCTTCTAAAATATTTTAATATTATTGTTGCCATCTTTTGGGATACTTCGAAATACAATTGATATTATCCTAATCAAATAGTAAGATATAATAGGTTGAATAACTAATATATTTTATAAAACTAAAACAAACAAAGAAAAATATATATGAGAGCTTCGTGCTGATAACGTGTTATGAAATTCAACAAAACAATATAGAGATGAAGAAGAGAAAGAGAGAAAGAAATATTGTATTATTCTTCAAGTTCTTTTAACATTACAATATGGATCTATTTATAATACATGACCAATAACAAGAATATACAAAGTTTAAGAAATTAATTCATATGAGCTAAAAAAATATAGAAAATAAGGGGAAATGGAAATCCACAGCTATTTAATATTATTCATAACAAAGTTAATATAATTATTATATTTTAGTGAAAGTTATAATAATTCTTCTTGTTCAATTAGAATAGCTTATTTTTTTTAATATGAAGATAATATAATTGTTATGTTTTAGTGAAAGTTATAATAATTCTCCACATTCAATTAGATTGATTTTTCATTTTTCAAACCGTTACTTGGTCATAAAAATAGATTTTTAATTAGGTTCAATTAGATTTAAAAATAGAATTAGTCAAAGAAATTGAAATGCCTGGTTTCTCTCTTACCGGGTCTTGACGTGGATTTTTCAACAGTGAAAATTTTGTCTTACCGGGTCTTCACGTGGATTTTTTCAACAGTGAAAAACTGCCGCAAAAGTATGTTTTAAATATGAAAGCTAGGTTGAGCTAAAAAAGATATTTTACTTGAAAATAATGAAATATTTTATCAAATATCAAATATTATCACTAGAAATAAAAACCAAATATCTTGGAAACTGAGGACAATGATACAGGAGGAGGAAAATCACAAGGAAAATCACAAGTATCATTCATATGTAAGAATGATACAAAATAGACCCAAAATAAATTCCATTAAAATCCTTCTTCAGACCAATAAGCAAAGCATATAAGATAATGGTCATTGCATTACCCGCCAATGGCCAACTAAATGAACACTTGAAAACACAGCCTCAGCCTCAGCCGCCTCCCACACCAGGATCACATTAAATCCCTAATACAATATCTTGTTCATATGGATTGTGATGTGTCCTTTATTTATTCCCCTGCAAAAAAATAAGGTTTTATCAGTCCATATAAAATAAAGATCTATTAAAGTGAAATGATGTCATATACATCAAAGAATTACTTCTATGATATATATGTTATGTTCTCAGAGGACAAAGCCTTAACAAAATATTGTCATGTTTGAGTTACGAAACCAATATCATGCAAATGAAAGAATACTACAAAATTGACCCTTAATGGATTCTGTCAAAATCCTTCTTCAGACCCAAACACAACAGTCAAAACAGACTGTACAAGGAACACAGCATATCATGAAATCCTAATTCTCTGGTTTTCTCTTATTTGTCGGCCTAACCATTTTCTCAGGATTTGTCAGCTATCAAATGCTTGGAAATGCATATGATAATTAAATTTTTTTGTTAAAACATACATTTTACACGGTTAATTTTTTGTTTCACCATTGTGTTTCACAAAGTTTTTTTTAAAGGCAAAATAAGAATTTATTTCTAACAGAATAGGCATGAGACATGACATATACACCAATCCAACCCACCAGCAGTTTTACCTCAATACACATTATACAGCAACGTAAAAACATTATACTTCTTGGAACAAGACCAATTAAAGCAAACATCTCCAAACTCAGAACCCAATACACAAACATCAGTTATATAGATATCACATAGCAAAATCAAACAATAAAAAAAAAAGTTGTATATTATGATTACCGGTAGTCATAATCTTATTTCTTTGTCTTCATGAAATAGATTGTGATTTTGTCCTTTGTTCCTTGCTCTGCAAAAAATAAAGTATTATTAGTCATACAAAATAAATTCAATTTACATTTACTTAACCATAAAAATGAAAACAAGATCTTTACTCAATGTTCGCTTGCTTTTACACGCACATAGAGCAAAACTAATGCTTTTGCGAACAATATCTCTATACCAGATAGTATTTTTCGCCAACGAGTTAAGATAGTAGGTTAAAGGCACGCTAAATCTCTACGCACAACAAAAATGAGTAGAAACCTCGAAAAAAGAATATAAACAAATTAAATAAAAACACTTTTATATTTACCTCCTCATCTCTGACTTCATAGACAGTGTCCTTAGATTCAAATAGATTAATCTAATCAATATTCTCTATAGCATTGATCAATCTAAATATTGTGACTTTTTCAGCTAAGTCATCTCTCCACCCACTTCTTCCTCTTTTGAGAGCACTCCCTCGTGTGATTACTCCTTCCAAAAAGAAAAAGAAAAGGAGGAGTCTGGGTGTGAGACTGTGAATCCGTCTGAGACTGTGAGTCCATCTACCGAGATTGTCAATCCGTCTACTGAGAATGTGAATCCGTCTACCGAGCCTGTTGTTACTCCGCAGTAGGACTCTGTTGTATATTATGATTACGGTATAGTCATAATCCTATTTCTTTGTCTTCATGAAATAGATTCTGATTTGCAAAAAATAAAGTATTATTAGTCATACAAAGTAAACTCAATTTACATTTACTTAACCATAAAAATGAAAACAGGATCTTTACCCAATGTTGTCTTTCTCTTGCTTTTACACACACGTAGGATAAAATTAATGCTTTTGCGAACAGTATCTCCAGCAGGTAGTATTTTTCGTCAACAAAGTTAAGATAGTATATTAAAGGCACACTAAATCTCTATGTTCAACAAAAATGAGTAGAAACGTTGGAAAAAGAATATAAACAAAAGAAATAAAAACACTTTTACTTTTATATTTACCTCATCACCAATGACTTCATAGACAGTGTCCTTAGATTCAAATAGATTAATCAAATCAATGTTCTCTATAGTATTGATTAATCTAAATATTGTGACTTTTTTTAGTGAATTCATCTCTACACTCCATGACCATACCACTAAATACTACAGAAATATCTACACCATCAGAGGAAAACTTATCCTAACACTCCTACTGAAATCTCTCCTAACATCTTGATTCATACCATCTTGATTCATACCATCTTGATTTATACCATCTTGATTTATACCAATTCCAATCTTGCTGTTGTTTCCATTCCTAATCCAAGATGGTGGGAATCAAGATGGTGGGAATCAAGATGTTGAGAATCAGATTTCCGTAGGAGTGTTAGGATAAGGCTTCCTCTGGTGGTGTAGATATTTAGTGGCATGGTCATGAAGTGTAGAGATGAATTCACTAAAAAAGTCACAATATTTAGATTAATGAATACTATAGAGTGATCAATACTATAGAGAACATTGATTTGATTAATCTATTTGAATCTAAGGACACTGTCTATGAAGTCATAGGTGATGAGGTAAATATAAAAGTAAAAGTGTTTTTATTTCTTTTGTTTATATTCTTTTTCCGACGTTTCTACTCATTTTTGTTGAACATAGAGATTTAGTGTGTCTTTAATATACTATCTTAACTTTGCTGACGAAAAATACTACCTGCTGGAGATACTGTTCGCAAAAGCATTAATTTTATCCTACGTGCGTGTAAAAGCAAGAGAAAGACAACATTAGGTAAAGATCCTGTTTTCATTTTTATGGTTAAGTAAATGTAAATTGAGTTTACTTTGTATGACTAATAATACTTTATTTTTTGCAAATCAGAATCTATTTCATGAAGACAAAGAAATAGGATTATGACTATACCGTAATCATAATATACAACAGAGTCCTACTGCGGAGTAACAACAGGCTCGGTAGACGGATTCACATTCTCAGTAGACGGATTGACAATCTCGGTAGATGGACTCCCAGTCTCAGTCTCAGACGGATTCACAGTCTCACACCCAGACTCTCATTTTCTTTTTCTTTTTGGAAGGAGTAATCACACGAGGGAGTGCTCTCAAAAGAGGAAGAGCTGTCAAATGGATTCTCAGTTACTTTCTCCAACCTATAAGAGTCATCTCCTTTGTCTTTTAATACGGTAACAAAATAAAAAATGTGTTAAACTAAATATATAAGCAAATCAGATAAATGAAATCATTCTAAATCTTACCCATCAATTTAGATTCGTCATCTAAAAATGTGATTCGAAGAGCCAAGTTCACACCATCAACGATCTTTTGCTTACAGGACTCCAAGTTCACACCATCAACGATCGTTTGCTTACGGGACTCCGGCGCCTCCTTCAAGAATTAAAACATGGAATTTTAACGTGAGAGGTTGAAATTGTTTTTAAGAAAACAAAGAAATGTTATTTTTAATGTGAGAGAGAAGTATTTAACCTAAGATGTTTAACGTGGGATCGGTGGTTATTCCTAGTTATTCCTCTGCAAAAAAATAAAGTTTTATAAGTTCATATAAAATAAATATATAGTAAAGTGAAATGATGTCATATACATCAAAGAATTACTTCTATGATATATATGTTATGTTCTAGAGGACAAAGCCTTAACAAAATATTGTCATGTTTGAGTCACGAAACCAATATCATGCAAATGAAAGAATACTACAAAATTGACCCTTAATGGATTCTGTCAAAATCCTTCTTCAGACCCAAACACGACAGTCAAAACAGACTGTACCAGGAACACAGCATATCATGAAATCCTAATTCTCTGGTTTTCTCTTATTTGCAGCCTAACCATTTTCTCAGGATTTGTCAGCTATCAAATGCTTGGAAATGCATATGATTGTTAATTTTTTGTAAAAACATACATTTTACACGTCACAAAGTTTTTTTTAAGGCAAAATAAGAATTTATTTCTAACATTATAGGCATGAGACATGACATACACCAGTCCAACCCACCAACAGTTTTAACTCAATACACATTATACAACAACGTAAAAACATTATACTTTTTGGAACCAAGACCAATTAAAGCAAACATCTCCAACCCAATACACAAACATCACACTGCTAAGCAAATGACCCATGTCCATTATATCAGCAATTTTTCACAAAGTTATATAAATATCACATAGCAAAATCAAACAATAAAGAAAAAAAAGTATATATTATGATTACCGGTAGTCACAATCCTATTTCTTTGTCTTCCTGAAATAGATTGTGATTTTGTCCTTTGTTTCTTGCTCTGCAAAAAATAAAGTATTATTAGTCATACAAAATAAACTCAATTTACATTTACTTAACCATAAAAAATGAAAACAGGATCTTTAGTCAATGTTAGCACGTAGGACAAAATTAATATTTTTGCTAACAGTATCTCCAACAAATAATATTTTTGCTAACAGTGTCACACTCATCCTTTTCTTTTTCTTTTTCTTTTTCTTTTTGGAAGGAGAAGGAGACTTGGCTCTTCGCATTTTTAGATGACCAATCTAAATTGATGGGTAAGATTTAGAATGGTTTCATTTATCTGATTTGCTTATATATTTAGTTTAACACATTTTTTATTTTGTTACAATATTAAAAGACAAAGGAGATGACTCTTATAGTTTAGAGAAAGTAACTGAGAATCCATTTGCCAGCTCTTCCTCTTTTGGTGCTCTCAAAACAGGAGTAGAGAGAGCTCTCAGAAGGAGAGTTGTCAAATGCATTCTCAGTTACTTTCTCCAAACTATAAGAGTCATCTCCTTTGTCTTTTAATATTGTAACAAAATAAAAAATTTGTTAAACTAAATATATAAGCAAATCAGATATTGGTCATCTAAAAATGCGAAGAGCCAAGTCCACACCATCAACGATGTTTTGCTTACAAGACTCCAAGTTCACACCATCAGCGATCGTTTGCTTACTGGACTCCGGCGCCTCCTTCAAGAATTAAAACATGGCATTTTAACGTGAGAGGTTGAAATTGTTTTTAAAAAAAACAGAGAAATGTTATGTGAGAGGTTGAAATTGTTTTTATAAAAAACAGAGAAATGTTATTTTTAATGTGAGAGAAGTATTTGACCTAAGATGTTTAACGTGGGATTGGTGGTTATTCCTAGTTATTAGGAAGAAACGGTTTCTAAAATCCAGGAGAAAAGAAACGTTTAGGATGGACCATTAAATAATCTAGGAGAAAAGAAACATTTAGGATGGGTCGGATTTATTTAAAATATAATCAAAGGTGCAAATTAGTTTGGCTAAAACCAAAACAGAACAACAACAATCTTATGGTTAGGTAGAAAGTCAGCCTTAAAACATTTGAGCATTTCTTAAACTCAAATCCGACTTTAATGCAAAACTCATACAAATGTAACAGAGAGCATATATTGGTTGAAAATAGACCATATTAGGAAGTATGCACAATATTCCATTACAGCATTATCACATGAATATAACATATTACAACCTAATAAGTCATTGATTTCTCACTATAGAACCCTTAATCCCCAATTTCATGTTACCCCACTAAACCCTAAGTCTCTAATTAGAGACTCACCTTGAATGTAAGAAGAAGTAGCTGTCAAACAGAGGTAAAAGATGATGAATCAAGGAATTGAAGTTGGTCGCAAGATGAGATGATGAGCTTGACAATGGCTTTTCTTCTCTTTGACGTTCTCTTTCTCTTCCTCTCTACAAAATCTGATTTTGTGATAAAGTGAGAATGAGGCCAAGCCAAACAACCCCTAATTATTATCATTTAAGTAGGTTAAAGACCATAATACCCCCTTCACTCATTTAAGTCTCATTTTTCGTTTTCTTTTTGTTGGTGATTTTTCGCTCTGTTGGTGTTTATTTAAGTTCTAATTCTTCGTTTTTGTTCTCGAGGATTGGTTTATATATCGTAATTTTATCCGCTTGTTTTAAGACATTAATAGTTAAAGTGGAGAATAAAATCTGATTAAAGTGGAATAATTAAATGCATATTTATTTTGTTTCGGAGACTCTGAATACAAGATGCACGTTTTGTTTAAGTTTTGATTATTGTAATTTAATCTTTGTTTTTTTAATAAACTAAAATCACATTAAAAAAAAGAATAATTGGATATACATTCTTTTAATCTCGAGTAAACTAACAGACACACGTTTTATTTACTCGTTTTTCGTTTTAAAAAAAAGAATAATTAAATATACATTCTTTTAATCTCGAGTAAACTAACAGACACACATCTTATTTATTCGTTTTTCGTTTTAAAAAAAAGAATAATTGGATATACATTCTTTTAATCTCGAGTAAACTAACAGACACATATCTTATTTACTCGTTTTTCGTTTAAAAATAAATAACGAATTAATTCTTTTTTCTCAGATTAAAAAGAGATAATTGAATGTACATCATTTTATCTTCGAATAAACGAATGCAAAATGTATATCTTGTTTAAGTTTAAATACTCGTCTTCCACTTAATAACAATGTCAACCAATAAACTCTTGTTTTCTGCCATAGTGCAAACAAATTTTTATTTTCAATCAACAAACTTTTTCTGCCTCTGCAAGATTAAACACTTTTTTTTGTATAAAATCATTCAACCCACAAATTTTTGCTACCTTGAACTATTATATTGTCCAAAAACTACAAGTGTATGTTTGTACTCCTTGTAAGGGCAAGGAGACTCAAAGGCCTTATTACAAGTCCACGACCGCCATAACGCAAACAAACTTTTATTTTCTATCAACAAATTTTTTTTCCGTCTCTTTAATTATTCTTTCATCTAAAATCAACCAACCCACGAATATTTGCTACCCATAATTATGTAGCTTTGGATTCCCCATCGCACCTGAGAATACGTAGGAGCAATATATGCATCTTGTCAAGCACCCTAATAAATAAAAAATTCCTTTTCTTGTGAATATATCGTAATAAATAGGAGAAAGAAAACACTTTAAGGATAACACTTTTATTTGCAAAATTAATTAAAGGTAATTATTGTTTACAATTGATGTTATGGGGTGGGTGTTAATACCGTTCTCACGCATAACCGACTCCCGAACATGGATTTGGTTGCAATGACCATATTTTTATTCTTTTAGGGTTTTGTCAATATTTTCCCTTTAAAAATAAACTTTTGTGATGACTTCATTGTCATTCAAGTGTTTTCGTGCTCAGGTATTTTTCTTGTCGCGATAGTTGACAACTTCATTGGGGAATTTACTGGAGAAAATTTACTAGGGAGAAAATGATTAAACGACTGGTGTCAATGATGACTGGGCTTTGAAAATTTAAAATGATAGGTTCTAATAGTGATTAGGCTCTAAAAAGTTAAAAGACGGGGGTCGATGATGGCCGGGCATTGGACGTGCCAGTAAAATTTGGGCTTTAAAAGTTAAAAGACGGGTGACGGTAATGATTGGGATTTGAATGTGCCGATGAAAATTTGGCTATGAATATGAGTGAAAATTAAACATGTTTAATGTTATGTGTCATGGTTGCATAATGATTTATGTTATGCATGATGAAGCCTTTAAGAACTCAATATGTCCCAACTAGCAAGGAACATATTCCTTAAGAGCATATGTGATATTACATAAATGTTTCCCTGTCCATCGTTGTAAGGATCAAAGATCTATTGGATAAAGTCTTTTTTGCAACGTACAAGCCTTCATAGTTTGGGTTCCACTTTCTGAGAGAATCCTTTTAAATAGGCAATATCTTTTTTAACACCAAGTCACCTTCCTTGAACTCTCAAGGGAGAACTTTCTTGTCGAATGCTCTTTTAAATATGCTTTGATACAATTGAGCATGACATAAAGTTATCATCCTCTTTGAAAAAGAAAATTTAACAAAAAAGAGTCTTTACACAAACCAAGAAAAGAATAAATGACCTAAATGTTGAGGTTGAAAAGGATGTGAGCTTGTTGTCAGCAACAAAGAGACGCAAGTGAAAACTTTTAAAGAGTACCTGAACTAAAGGTTGAAGAGTACTTTCAATCAACAAACCTTTTCCCGCCTCTTAAACTCTTCTTTTATCTAAAATCAATCAGCCCATAATTTTTTGCCACCCATAACTATGTAGCGTTGAATTTTCCATCATACCAGGGAATATGTAGGAGTAATATCTGTATCTTGTCAAGCACCCTAATAAAAAATTATTTTATTTCTTTTCTTGTAAATATATCGTAATAAATAAGAGAAATCAAACACTTTAAGGCTAACCCTTTTATACGCAAAATTAATTAAAAGTAGTTGTTGTTATATTTCATTCTAAGTCATTTATGGGATTTTGGCCCACCCACAGGTTCTGCTAAATCGGTGTGACGAAAGTGATTTCATATTTTTTAGGTGGGGTGATGAAAGTGAATTCATGTTTTTTTTTCATTTCTGTTTTTTATTTTCTTAACATTTTTAAATTTTAGAGACTTATATCTATAGTTATGCAAGTAATAGTTTTTTTCATTTGTATAATCAATCTAATTTTGCAAAATAGTAATGGTTGAAGAGTTATATTAGAGATCTTAAACAAAATAATATAACTATTCAAAAAATTTATTCGGTGATAACTGATATATGAGATCAATTGACTCTTATGAAATCTATGACACCCCTATTTTTATTATTATTAAAAAAATATTTTATTATATTATTTGATTAATTAATTAATATTGATATTAATATAAAAGAGTTGATGGAATTTTTTGTATTGATATTAATATTGATAAAAAAAAATTTTGAGTTTGTATGTGAATTTTGCATTGGTTAAATGTTAGTAAAGTAAAATATGTCTACTTATTTTCATTTTGCTTTGGACTTTTACATCGATTCCCATGTCTTGACCTGGTTGTTTGTAATGCCTTAATTTCCTTGGATATGTAAGTTGAATGTTGCATAAATATTAACCCTCGTACATATGTTGCATGTATGCTGCTGATGGTGATGATAATCTAATATAAGATGGAACTTGTCATACGTTGTAACAGGTTAGCAGGCGTGTCACGACAAATGGGCTGGTTGTTCCAGTTGCAAGTATGTCACTACGCCAAAAATAAGTTTTAGCAGCACATAAAAGAAAGCGCTTTTGGAAAAAAAACGTTGCTGTAGGTTTTAAAAAAAATTCGTTTAAAAAAGCGCTTTCAAAGGGTGCCTTAAGAAAGCGCTTTTTGGGAAGCGCTGCTAAAGTCGGCCTTTCAGAGGATACCTTAAGAAAGCGCTTTTCAAAAGCGCTGCTAAAGGTCAGTCTTAGAAAGCGCTTTTCCAAAGCGCTGGTAAAGCTGGCCTTTAGAAAGCGCTGCTATAGGATATGCTACGAAAGCGCTTTTTGATGTAAAAGCGATGTTATAGATAACCTTTAGAAAGCGCTTTTAAAAGCGCTTTCGTAGGTAGTTTTATAATAAATATCAAAACACAATTCGTATCACTTTTCTATTCTCAGTCAGATTTTCTTCACGAAAAAACCCTAAACCAGAGCTTCTACGGCGGTCAACGGCGCTCCACTTCTTCGGCCAACTGCAATTCGTATCAGGTTTCATTTTTTTCCTCATCTGTATGTGTTTGTCTGGTTTTCGTGTGCTTTTGTTTGGTTAATGATTTTGAGCAAGCATGGTTTCTACTGTCATAGAAGTTATTAAGAAGTTGTGCATTGAAGTAACATGCTAAGAGAGAAATAATGGTAGGGAACATTATCTTTGTTGTCATAGTATTATTCTTCATCACTTTCTTACAAACATTGAACATCTTCTGTATTCTGTATTCATCTTCAAAGAATGTTTCTTTCTGTATTCTTCGCCATCTTTACACGTATCTATAACATTTTCTGCAAAATAAACTTTATTCTTCTTTTTCTTCTTTTTCTTTCCATCTGTTCAGGAAAAACAACACATCATTATGTTAAAGGTGAGACAAACAATGATAAAGGCAAGGCAAAAAACCAAAACAAACAATGTTAAAAATTTTCCATTTAGGGTTTCTTGATAACTCAAAAAAACTTAGATAAGACAATGCCTTTGTTCTTCCTCATCACCCATCTCTTCGGACCCTAATTTACAAACGAAAAGCAACAACAACATGAAGATAAACAGAAGAATAACATAAATAAAGGAATTCAAAATTGACAATAGGTTAAAGATTATATTTTTCCTAAATTGTTAGTAGATAACAACGGAAAGGTTGAAGATTCCACCAATGATGAAAGATCAAAGCAGGAGCGTAGAGAAAATGAAGGGATTTTTCCATTGATTATGGTTTTTTAGATTATTGACAATTTTTTGGATTTGTGTTGCTTTTGATTTGATGTTATTATTATGAAAGAAAAAGAAATGGTGATGAGATGACATATTCCATGCGTTTTCAGTGAGGAAGAGGAAAGAGTGTAGAAAAACGATTTTGAAGTTGTTTGTTTTGTTTTTTCTGTTTTGTTTTTAGTGTGTTTCCAATGCAAGTTTGTTGTTCGATTGTGATAATGGTAAGGAAGGAATCATAACGTTGGAATAATGCAATTTTGAAGTTATTAAGAAGTTGTGCATAGCTGGATTTTTTTAAAAACATTTCAATGAATATAGTCTAATATTAATTATGTTTTTATTTAAGGTTGTTATATGAAAAATTGATGCGCGGGAATCAATTGTCAAACAGATTCCATTTCATGTCTTCCTCCCGTGTCAGCGGAGCGACAATTGGTAGGGAACCGGATTCAGTAAGAGAGCACTTAGTCGAAAGATTCATGGCAACTGGCAGTACAGAAAGCTTATATATTTGGGCGTATAATACTATTCCTACAGGGTTAGATTTTCATTCTAAGTTCATTTTAATATTTGTAATTTTTGCATAGAAAATTTTCTTCTAAACTGTTGTTTTAATTTATAGACGTCACTGGTTGTTGGTTGCTATCGATCCTATAAAAGAAGTGGTCTATTATCTGAATTCGGTTGATGGTGATTGGACAAATTATCCGGATATGAAGTTAATGATTGATACGTAAGTGAGATTATTCTAAATATTTCTGTGTATTTATATATTTAATTATTTTTGTGACATTATTCTAAATATATATATTTATTTTGTTAGAGCGATACAAGTATTCCGGTGTCAAAGAGAAGCTCGGGTACGACGGTCTAAATCAAACAACATTAATTGGATCAAAGTGCAGGTATATTAATTCCCACTATTTTGCTTATAATATTTATGCTATTTGATAAAACAATATAACTATATATTCTTATTTGTTTTTCTATGTAGTGTCCTCAACAGCAAAACGGTATAGATTGCGGATACTTCGTTATGCGGTTTATCAAAGAAATCCTTCAACTGAATCAAATAGAGATTCCAATCACCATATGGATTTATAACTTATGATTTGTTTTATTATTTCTCGGATATTTCATATAATTTTTTACTTTTAACTAAATCATGCATATTATGTTTTGTTATGTAGTACTTCGATGAATACAAATGTGCATATTACACGAAACTTCAGTTGGAAGAAATCAAAGAGGAATTGTGTCAATATTTTATTGAGAATAGAATCATATAAGGTATGTGTTGTACCCCAAAATATGCCCTCCCATATTCTTCAAAGTTTTGACAAGCATCATCTCAATTTGCTCAAGTCTACTCAGGGGTTGCACAGTTCAAACACCCTCCTAAGCCAGTCAAATTAGGGTTTTTGGTTCTTGCAAGGAAGTTAAGGTTTTCAAGGGCCCAATCAAGTCCAATAGGCCTACACATATCCTCAAGCATCTACATGTCAAGTTTCAAGGCTCACAGCATCAAGTTGCACAGTCAAAAGCCCTAATTGCTCCACAATCAACTGCAGGGGCAAAATGGTCATTTGGCAGTCAAAAGTCAAAAAATTTGGTCAACATATTATTTTGAAGCCACAATCATCATTTGATCAAGTCTTTATCATGATTCCACAAGAGTGACTCAGAAATCATCAAGATGTCAAAAGTTTCTATTTTGGGACAACTGAAAAGTCAACTGTAAATTGACCAGGGTATAACTTTTTCATGGTTCATCAGAAAAATCCCATCCAATGCTCATTTTTAAGGGGAGGACATTTCCTACAACTCATCTTCACATTCCAAGTCCAAGAAATGCTCTCACAAAAAGTTATCAATTTCTACATTATAGGTCAATTTCAAAAGTCAACAAAAAGGCACTTTAAGTCAAAGACCATAACTTGAGATTGGTAAATCAAAATGACATGGGACTAAAGGAATTGGTTATAGGACTTCAAGACCTTTCCAAAATGTCCAAGAACATGTTCATATGATCAAAATTGAGCAAGATATGCATTGGAGAAGTTGAGAAATTTTTGGGAATTTGTAAAAGTCAACTTTGCCTAAAACACCTTGTTTTTGCTAATGGGCCTCAAATTCTTTCTTGAAACATTGTCCAAGGCCTATGCATGACCCATTGAGCTTAAATTGATTTATTTTCTTATTTTTAATTAATTAATTGAATTTTTATTAATATTAATTCATTTAATTCATTTAATTGTAGGAAAATTCAAAAGATATTATTTTCAAATCTTTTGTGGAGCAAATATGACCAACACATGCTGAAGATTTCGTTTGCCAATCAAGGGGACCAAAATATCCAATTTTAGCAAGGTTTCTCAATCAAAAAGATGCTAAAAGATTTGATTGAAAATCAAATATACAATCTTCAATACAATGGATTTCATGTGCAAGATTTACCCTAGTTTCATTCCACTATATGTACTGAAGCAAACCCTAAAGCCTTGAACGTGCAAGCTGCTATCAAACACCATAAACCAAATTCCAAAACTTGAAGAAAAGTTGAAAACTGAAATCAACCTTCCAGCACAATTCAAACCCTTTTCTTGATTCCAACACCTTGCTGGACCTTCCAGGAACCTATTGCAATCAAGAACAAGCCCTAACACTCAAAGAATCACCTCAAACAGTCACACGGTTCACCATTCTTTTCCATAATCGAAACTCGAGTTTTATGCATCATTAACATATTTTGACTATTGCTTTGCATTACTAACATCATTCTGAAGCTTTTGATATAGTTTAATTTGATTATGGTGCCCTAAAACGAAAACTGCCATTGGAGAATGCTAGGGTTTCGAAGCTTTTAATTTGGGGGTTTACAGCATAAGTAAAATTAGACCTCAAGACACATATGGTTAAATTCGTCAGGATGAGACGAACGCATTGATACCATCGCGCCCTTTTTATATTCACTGTACGCCTAATCGTTATTCTTGGCAGTTTTGCTTTGAGGGGGTTAAAAACCCCCGCTATCTTGTTCTTTGTTTTACAGGAAAAGGTAGAAGATGAAGGACGTGTCTCAACATGGTTGGCTAGTTTGAATATAATGCGCGCTTTTTTGTTTTCCAGCATAATTGATTTTCTTTTATATATTATTTTCATTATCTACTATAATAACAAAGCATGCAGCGTGGTGTGGTGGTTGATAATGTGTCTGGCAATTGTTGGGACTTGGGTTCGATTCCCAGGTCCACCCAAATTTCAATATTATTTTGTCTAATGCGTTCCTATGCAGCTTCACAAGAATAGTCTACCATGCAACCTCACAAACAAGGCGCCAAGTGTCTCATGAAGCTCAATCCAAAGGCCAGGGATGGCTCCACACCATACTTCAAGTCAATGAGCATGCACATGATTCCAGAAGTCAACTAGGGCTTTATGCTATTGGGCCTGAATTCCAGAATAACACCTCCCTTGGGTCCATCAAACCCCCCTGGTTTTGTTATTTTCTATTTTATCTTCTTTTCCTTTTAATTCTTTTAATTATAATCATTATTTAATTAACTAACAAATTAATATTTTTAATAAATTCAGAGAATAAAAAGTGTGAATATTTTTATTAATTGTAAATATTTTTATTATTCATTAAATTCACTAATTATTATTTTTGTAAATAAATACTAACAAACAAATTAGTTTAATATAGGTCAATTTTCATCTTTTTCTCAATAAATAAAAATTATGTAGAATTAGGGTTTGGCATTTTCAATCATATTTTATTAATTATCATTATTCTTATTTATTAATTATTATCTTTGTAAATAAAATGTAAATTAAATAATTTAGTTAATTAGGTTAACTTTGACATTTTTTATTAATAATTAAAATAAACTTAGAGCTAGAGTTTTCTTGACTTTTAATTTCCTTATTTATTTTTTTTCATTAAAATATTAAAAACACACAAAACTTTTTTTTTCTTTTAATTAAATAATTGATTAGTAAACTAGGGTTAATTTTAATTAAATGCAAAGGACAAAAAAACTCATATTTTCTCAAAAGGGTCAAAAACCCTAGGACGTTCCAATTTAATTCTTTCGCGCATTATCTTATTTTGATTATTTATGTATCTGCTCAATGGATGTAATAGTAATTAGGTTTACCGCTTTCTTTTATTTTCCGTATTTATTTTCCAAAACGGGTTTTTGTTTTTGGCGATGTATAGACCCGCGCCTTGTACTAGCGTAGATTCATATTTCCGCACTTTAATTTTCCGCACTCCTAACTGTTAA